CCCCCCCCCCCCCACGACGCCGTGGTGAAACCGGCTGCTTGGCGGTTCCAGCGACGACCTGTTGCCGACAAGTTGCACTTCTCGGTGTCCTTTCTCGTGTGCCCGGACGTGTTGGTCGCGCACATGGCCCGGTGGTGCGCTTTCGGCACGATCGTTGACCCGTTTTGCGGCTTCAGCCGCCTGGCCGTTCGGCTGGCGCGCACGTATCGAAAGGTGATCGCCGTGGACAACGACCCAGCCAAAATACATTTGGCCCACCGGAAGGCTCCGGAGCTCGGAGTCGCCTACTTCATTGAGTTTCGAGTCGGCGACTGCTTCGCGGCGCTATCCAGAGTGACGTCCGACGCGGTGATCACCTCGCTGCCGTGGAATCGAAACCAGAGGTTCAGTGCCAAAGATTTTTGCAGCCATTAGAAGGGTGGACTAGCCGGCATTCTCGGCGTGGCACGTGAGATCGCCCCCATAGTCGTTCTCCACGTACCCAAAACCATCCACATGTCTCAGATTGTGAAGTGTCGAGAGTTTTGGGCACATGGAGATCAAACACGTCAGCATTGAGGAGTAAAGAACTCCTTAAACGCCGTTCTGTACCTAGAGAGATTGAACGATGGCGGGGGAGCGATCGAACCGACCGTCTTCGAAGTGCTATTAAATCCGAAGTCGGTAGTAACGCCACAGAGACCATATGCGTAATCGCATGTTTAATCGGCAGTAGATGGAAGACATCGTGATCTAGAACATTCTCATTTCATATATTTTTATACATTTTTATACATTTTATAAATTTTTATTCATTTTTATACATTTTTTACATTATTTTATACATTTTTATATATTTTATAAATTTTTTTATATATATTTTTTCTGTACCTTTTGTTGAATGGAACTACTTTTTTAACTACCTAATTTAATTTGTCAATTTTTTTGGTTTTTTCCTCTCGCAGGGTTTTTCTTCTTTTTTACCATTGTTATAACATATTTATTTTTTTCATATTACCAATTTTTCTCTTTTTTTATAACAATTTTCACTTTTTTATATTTTCATCCTTTTGTACTACATTAATTTTTATACCTCTTACAAGAAAAAATAACATTTTTTTCTTGATCATTTATTAAAACAAACGGTTCGTTTTTTTGAAGTTACAGTTTCAGATGTATTTAAAACCAAGTGTACTTAAATTATGTTACTTACCAAAAAAAAAAAAACAACTTTACATCTACTTCTATGTATTACTTTTCTAATTGTATTAAAATCGTTGGATGTCAGGCCATAAGCAAATTGAATGTGTTGTGCTTATCAGTGGCGTATCCAGGATTCATTTAACGGGGGTGTTTCAAAATTTATTAGACTTATGGTAAGTAGAGCCTCTGCCCCCTCCCCTGAAATAAATAAATAAATTCCATGTATTAATATAAATGAAAATGATTACATTAAGACAGCATATGTAAAACCTACAAGTTGTATACAATGTTTATTCAAATAATCAAAGTTTACAATTTGGTGAAATACCATAAAATAAGGTCGACGGGGAGTGTTTTAACACCCATATCACCCCCTAAATACGCCCCTGGTGCTAATTTTTTTTGGTAATATAAAAAGTTCGGATTTTGGTTACCGGGTTTTATTTTTTTCTCTTGTTAGGCAAAAATGGTTAATCAATTTTATCGCATTTCAATGTTAATTCGAATCCCGATTGTTGAGTTGAAACTGGATTTAATTTTTCTCCGAGTAAAAACCGTGTTAACATTACACCGTAATATGTATTTTACCAAACCGTAACAAACAATTTACCTATATAGAAACATCTCTTTTAGCATAATAATAAGGTAAAATTAATTTAATGTATAAATGTATGTATAGGTATAAATGCAAATCATGTCTGTCAACATGCGTAAAATAAAAGAACCTGTAGGTAGGTATATACTAGTATTTATTATATATTAGTAAATATTATAACCTAAACTCTTTTAACTATTTTGAGTAAAATTTGTAAAAAGGTAAAAAGATTAAAGTTGCAGTTAACGCCTGTTACAATTTACCGTAAAAATCATATACAAATAAAGAATGTATAAAATACTTTATATATATTACCGGAAAAGATGAAAATTCAAGAATTGTCAGTATATTCTAGTCATTATTGACAATTACTGGAAAGGTTAGGCAATGTTGGATATTTCGTAGTTTTATCAACATTTCCGTATTATATTAGCAATATTATAAATCCGCATTCAAACAAATATCAACACCGCTTTATCGGTGATCGATCTGATTATGGAACTTTCAAGTCTTCATGAAATATATATTAATTTTAAATGACGAACATTTTTTTAAATTTGTTGTGGTGTTACGACCGGAGCCCTAGGCAAACCATTGCGGAGCACCAAAGGCTTCGCGGAGCACAGTTTGGGTACCGCTGTACTAGATTATATAATTCCAAGTGTAATATACCACGTAACAATAAAGATTAAGATTATGATTTATCCTAAATAGCTAATAAGTATTAAAATATATTAAATTAATTTTTAATGTTATTATCAATGCCTTCTTGTATTAGTAATTGTTATCAATGATTAGGTATTGACATTAATTCCTTACTAAATCAGGCATTATCGTTATTGACTAGTCATTTTCAACACGGACTGATTGTCATCTTTTCCGGTAACATATATACTCATATATCTAAATAGTTAAATGTGAATGTATAATAAATATTAAATTATTTAACTATGTAGTAGCCAGTTGGTATTTTGTATCACTGGGTACATGTAAATTCCACTGATTGGACCTTTTTTTCATGTAAATTTCACCGGTACGTTTTATTTATTTATTATTTTACCGTTATCGTAAATGTAAACTCCACCGATCCAAATTGTATTTAAAAATAATATTTTTAAAAAATTATTTTATATTTAAATCAATTATGAAACCACGAGGAGGCGGTTCAAATTATCTTCCAAAAAAATTATTTTTTTTTTCATTTATATTTTAAAATCAATATTTTTATTTGCAGTGATGAGCTAATTGTTATTTTAAAATATTGATTTGTAGTGATGAGAAGCTGCCTTTACGAATTCCATCTTGGTGATATTTTATCCTTTGAATAATGAAATTATGTTAGTTAAATATTGTTGACGTATTTTTGATGCAGAATTTCCTAAATAATTAGGTTCGTTAATACTGTTTAATTTAATGTAGGCAGTGTTGTATTGGAGGGTATAATGGGGTATACGGTGTATACACAATACGCTATTTTTATCCATGGCGTATAGCTTATGAGAAATTGACGATACGTGGGTATACGGCCGAATCTAGCGTATAGCTTGTAATTTGACAAATATATATAATAAATATATGTATAAATAATACAACTTTTGGTTATATTTATGACGTGTTCACATGTATTATTAGTTAAATTCAATTCAGCACTACATTGAGCCCATATTTTTGGTGGAAATAATGCTTCTTCTGATTAGTAAGTTTCTAAAATATAATCTGCAAATTGCAAAACATTTAAGTTTTCAGGTTTTATTGACATTAACTTATTCGTAAAAAGATTGAAAACATCTTCACTCTAAAAATACTAACGCAAAACAAATTTTAAGCCATTGACCTACTTCGGTGTTTGTTTTATAATGTTCCGTTAAATCACATTTTTGAATTGCTATCCACTAACTTTGTGTAACATGAAATCGACAACCCATCAACCTCGCCTTTGGCCATATTAATTCGCATCACATGGACACTAAAATTATTGAGCTGTCTTGGTAAAGGGCGTAAGCTTTATGGAGTCAATGTTAATGTTCATCAATGAAATTGTATTGATTTATAGAATACTTTGGCAGGTATTTTGTTATAAAGTAATTGTTAATTTACTGTTAAAGGGGCATGTGAATCAAAGAAAATAGGGATTTATTATTTTTTATTGATATATATATATATATATATACCCTACCCAAGCGTATAATACATATTATGGTTTATGAACTAATTGTGTAATGCATTAACTGTATATTAATGAAACAATTTCTGACCAATGGTTTCGACAACAGAATAGTTTATAAATAAAAATTATTGTTTGCTTATTAACAAATTGTCTTATAATACATTATCCTTTATTTTAAAAATGTTGACATCATTTTTTTATTTAAAATATTAAACACTCACACTTTATACCAACTTTAAAACAATAATTTATAATATTCAAATCTAAACAAATCTCATAAGTTATACATATTTGTTGCATATTTGCCTATTTTTACAATTTTGACTGAGTATATGGCATATTTTGATACTTTTTAGCGCATAAAAATTCGAGCTCTAATCATAAACAATAAAATCTTGCAGTAATATCAATCCAACTTTACATAAATATTTTTTTGGATAAAATAAGAATTCAATATAAATATAATTTAATAGCAGTTCCAATGGTTCATTACCTTTTTTAATCGGTTTGTTACAATTTTTACTTCACCATTAATTTATCACTCTTATTATTATATTTTAATGACCTCAAAAAAATTATAATCCGTCATTAATATTTATTAAATATATTTAATTCAGTTATAGTAAATAAAGATATAAAACTCACATACAAAAATTTTTTAAATATCTTCTGATTAAATACAAACTTCAATTTTAACAAAATTAATAAATTAGACTATCACATTACTAACTAAATTTAATTAAAATTAAACAATTTAGAGTTTTATAAAATATATGAGATACAAAATAATATATTTCACTTTTAAGTCATTTTTTGAATTATTGATTTCTCTTTTAACCATGTAATAAAAAATATTAATATAAATTTAATTAAAATAATTTTTTTTTAAATTTAAGCATCAGCCTTTGTAACAATAAAAAATAATATATACTGAGGTATATATTTATAAAATTACATCAACATAAAATGAACATATTTGACTAGGAAGCTTATAATTTTTTAAAAATTGAAAGAATCAATCTTCTATTTTCCATTTGACTACGCTGTATATTAATCAGCATATTTCTCAATTGTTCATGTTTGTATGCATCAGCGACTTCTTTTTTTTTCATATAACTAAGAAACCATTCAGGTGGTTGATCTGATTTATTGTCATCATGTGTTGGTGTTTCAGAACAAGTATTATCGTTTCCAACAATACTCATTACACTTTTTATATCATAGAAATACGGCCAATGTGTCTTTGACTTTTTACTTATACCTGACACTCTGCGATTATATGATCTTACTAAGCTATTCCACTTATTTTCTAAATCTTGTTCAGTCAGCATAACAATTCCAATACGGCGAAATTTCTTTAAAACAACAGGCCATATAGAATTTGGTTTTCGAACCCATTTTTTCACTTCATTTTCTGCATCAGTACGTAAATTTATAAGCTTACGTATAAGTTCTGGGTGCCACTTTTTTCCTTTTTTGGTTTCTATGTTACTTTCATCACTAGCATCTGAGTCTTCGTCTATCTCCACACTAAAATCCATATAAATGATTGTAGGAAAATATTTAATTTTACGTGTTTATATATTTAAACTTACTTTGTATCTGTTTTGTAATTATTTAACATTTCTCGTACATCAGATTGTTTCCATAAACCCTGCATGAATACAGGAACCAGTTCTTCACCAGGTCGCGGATGACTAATATCAGGAATTTCTATTGTTCCTCCCAACATCTGATCCATAATAGCAAAATAAGGCCATTTTACATCTTGGGATCCTTGAGTTTTTAGTTTGTCTAAGTTTTCTTCATATTGTTCAACACATTGATTCCATAAAGATTCTGCTTCATAGGATTCAATATCGGCATTTGTACCAAGACTTTTGTTCATCTTTGTAACTAAATCATACCATAAAAGGTCTTTTTCAGTTTCTTTAGTTGCATGGTCAAAACGATCAGCCATATTACGCCGTAATGAAAATAAAAGGAGGATCATTTCTTGGGTCCATAGTCGTATTTCTATAAGAAAATATATGTAATACTAAGTATAAGATCAAAATGGTCACTAATAATACATATACTCAAACATTTTTTCATAACAAATTAATTGATGAATAAGAATAAATAATAATTATAATAATAACCTTAAAATTATATAAAACCATTTGACAAATTGGACAATAATTGTTAAATTTAATTTTATATATTTATAGAGATGATTTTTGTCAGTTTATAAGAGTTTATTTAAAAACTTCAATTATTTATATAATTTATTAACTTAATTAATCAAAATTTCTTTATGTAAGAAAATAAAAGGAAATCAGAATAATTTTTTAAATTTAAATAAAAAGGGAAAGAAAAACAATATTAATTTTTAAATAATTCTTATTCATGTTAAAAAAAATGATCTTTATTAACTTTGTTGTTAGATCATTATGATTGTAATAAATTAATAATCCAAAATCAATTATTGAAAAATAAAATGAAAAAAATATCAATAGTTAGTTTAATTAGTCCTTAACTTATATACCTATTATAGGTACAATCTAATTACATTCTTCTTATCAACTTTATTGTCAAATAGATTATTTTAATTATTAGCTAATATTTGTTATTAGGCAATTGATAAAGAAGAGGGAGAAAACCAAAACAGAAATAAATTAATATTTCCTTAATATATTTAAAAAGACTAAAAATAATTATTATCCATTAATTAAAAATACCACTGTTGGCATTAGTAGTTGAAGTCAAAAAAAAATAATCCATGTCATCTTTTGAATCCATATCCATTATTTCACTGTTACTGAAAACAAATTCACATAATAAAATAAACAATACAATTTTCTATCATAAAAATAATATACATACTCTTCTTCTGTATCAAAATGATCAGCTCCAACATTTTTATTCATAGTTCCTATCATTTTGTCTACCTCAATAAAAGCATCAGGTTTCTTTAATTCGTCAGTGCCTTTGAGTATTTCATCCATAGCATTAAAATGTTCCCATCGTACACTGAAATCTCCCATATATTTAATTCTTTCTATATTTTTTCGATATGTAGCTGCTATATTTCTCCATTTATCATCACAATCTTTAGCAGTTACTTTTACAGATGGAATACCACTACTCATTCTTCGTGCAATCAGTTCCCATAATTTAAATTTATACTTCACTGTATTAAATTCTTTATTAAGACTACCACGCAATGCAATCAATAAAGATGTCATTTCAGTTGACCATTTTAAAGCCGGCACTAAAATTAAATTATTAATCATAATTATAACTAAAACTTATTTAAATTCTATTTATTAATTTTAATTTGATTTTATAAAACAAAACAAAAATTTCTTACTATTACTATCTGGAAAATATGCTTCATTTATATCATTCCACGAACTTGTTTCAGCAGTAGTTTGATTTACAACAACAGGCTTAATCTCAATGGAAGGTTTAATATTATTAGAAGTTCCACTAAAATAACACAATTTAATTGTACATATTATTTGATACAAATTTTACAACTTTAAAAATATTAGGAAATTATTTAAAATGCTCTTATAATATATATTAATTGCTAGTACATACTCATTTAAAAGAACACAGTGAAGCTCTTCAACACCATCATCTTGTACAATATTAGAAACTTCTAGTTCAATATATGAACTAGACAAATCTAAATAATCTGTTTTTGTAATATTAACTGGGTAGTTAATTAAATTTTGACCATTTGACACTAACATTCGTGAATTAATAATGGCTTTTAAGTAGTTCATCAAAACTTCCTCTAATAATAAAATGGTAATAATATTAATATAATTGAATAATAACAAGAATATAAAGTAAATTAGTATATAGTTTGTTGAATAAATGTATGAAATATTCTAAGTGCTAAAATATGGAAACTTCTTAATTCATGTTTCATGCACTAATTACTATAGAATATTTTCAAACTCAACTTAATTTTATCAACTATAAGTAATAGTGAAAATAATAATTCTGTATGTTGAGCCCTTGGGGTTTCCCTAGGGCTCTATTTATTTTACCATAAAAATGTAATAATATTACAATTATTGATTGTTACTTAGAACAACGAGCATATATATTTAAACAAGACTCCATCTAATCAAATATAATTTACCAATATGTGTATAAATACTATTAAAACCCCAACAAAAAAATATAATTGTTTAATTTTAAATAATATGGATTTCCATTCCAAATGTTACCCCACCAGGTATATTGTATATAAATATAATATTAAATATACATTATCTTGTTTTGAATTTCCTCTTATATATGTAATATGCTTCATAGAACATAGGCAAATAAAATTTTATATTAAATATTTCTTGAGCTTCAAAAAAAAAAAATACTACTTAAATAAACGTTCCGTGGATAAAAAAGTTTAAGAATCGTGATTTAGTTTAAACTGAAGTAGTATCTTAACTTCCTATAAAGACATTTACATCACTCCAGAATATAATTTATTTATTTACAATACCATTTGAAGAGATTAATAATTACTGGGATATTTAAGCATCATGTTTTAAAACAAGGGGCATACTTCTTTCTAATTATTCTCTAAATATTTTGAAAAACTCATCCTTAATTATATTTTCTCAAATATAAAAAAAAAATTATCTTATCATCAATTTAGTTATATTCATTATAAAAGTACGTATAAATAAAATTATTTAGTAAAATAACACATTTATACTCAAGTTATATGGCATTCGTAATTTTTATCTAGACCATGTTAAAAAAAAAAAATCATAGTTCTGTATATTTTTATATATAGTTGTGATAGAATATTTAAATTTTTAAAAATTATATATATAGGTACTCAAGTATTACAGGCAACTACTAAATGTGAATATATAATAAATGAGTATTTATTTAAATAATAGTTAAATAATTTTTTTTTCTTAACTTAATTAAAATTTAGATTTAATAATATTGTATGTATTTTTTTTTAATTTTTATTTTACAGGATTGAAAATTTAAGTCTAAACATCTATAGGCAAAATTATGAAGGCACAAATGTGATATAAAACCAAATACATTTTTATGAAACTTAATTTACACCTAAGAAAAATTATTAATGTTTCAAATTTCTAAACATACCATCTTTAATTTTTTCAACAGTTCGCTTATCCGTTTTAAATACAACTTGTTTATTATTGATCTTAAAAAACAGTTGTTCAGAATATACAGGTGTATCAGTATTTCTGGCCGTATAGTTCTCCATACTTAGAAACAGTGAGGCTACACTAAGATTCTAAGGCACACGGTAAAAATACAAATACCTGTAAGGGTTATACGGATAATGTCTTTAAAATTTTGAATAAAAAAAAAAAACGAAAATAACTTCTTTCTAACCAAAACTAAGTAAACATAGATATGAATCAACCGTTCAACACAACGCACTAATCGATGGAAAAAGGAAAAAGAAAATCGCCTCATTATCAATGGTGTTCATGTTATCTTTACTTTAGTAGCGCAGTCGCTAAATGATTTCACGTGTTACTCGTTTGATAAGGCTTGTACGAGAATAATAACTATAATTTAAAATTTGAAAATTTTTTATTGGTATCCTCTGCACAATGAAAAATCTAAAACTACACAAGTCTTGTGTGACGCGTGTCGAACAATTAAAAGATGCAACATCGGCCCTGATTATTAATAATTGTGAGTTTTGTTATGCTTCCAATTGTGCTGTTTGGCGTTTACACATAAATGATCAACCTCAACTAGTAGTTGACTTATCGAAAACAGGAATTTACTCAGGCAACGAAGATATTAAAATATTGTCTTATGTGTACAATGCACCGTGGGATTCGTTTGTTGTTGGTTGTTCTAATGGTGATGTATTGTTAATACATGAGAATATTGCCGAAGTTGCATATACATGCGAAGATGCAGTTGTTGACATATTATGCAGTCCAGATGCTGAGCGTTTTATTATATTGACCAAACAAAATCATGTAACTCTAATGACCGAGTGTTTTGAAGTCTTGAAAAATTTCAATATTGCTGAGGTAACTCTTGCTGAAAATAAACTGGTCAATGTTGGCTGGGGTAAAAAAGAAACTCAATTTCATGGATCAGAAGGAAAAGATAAAAGAGTGGTTAAAGAAGTTATTGGAGATGGTGATGATGCAGATGACTCAATAAATATTTGTTGGAGATCTGATGGCCTATTGTTTGCAATTGGATTTTTTAATAAAGTAACAAATTTAAGATCTATAAAAATATTCAATAAAGATGGAGTTCTACAGAATATAAGCGAACCTCTTTCAGGTATATAAGACCTTTCCTATTTAGAGTTTTGCGGTAAATTTGTAATTTTTTTTTAGGAGTACAAGCTGTTTTAAGTTGGAAAACTACTAAAGAACTAATATCATTTCCTCAGCACTCAAACGGAGTATATTCTATTAGTTTTATGGAAAAAAATGGACTTAAACATGGAGAATTTGCAATTCCATCTACCATCAATGTTAGTAGAAATATTTAAAAAAGGAAAAATTTATGTTTAATTTTTGTTTTTAAATTACAGGTAAAACAGTTAATGTGGAACCATGATTCTTCAATATTGTGTATTCAATGTTTTGATTCTAATAATAATTATTTATTATTTTTATCATGCACTAACTATAAATGGCAAATTAAAAAATGGATGACAATTGAACACACAATAATTACAGCTAAATGGTTTTCAGACAACAGTTTACAATTAGTTACCTCTAATGGTGTTTATTACACTCTACATTGGACTGACACTTTGTGTAAATCCAGTCCAGGAACTCTAGATTGGATTGCTGTTATAGATAATTGTAAGATAATTATTATTATAGTTATTTCTGAGTTTTAAAGTATGATTTATTTTTAGGTTCAGTATTATTAACACCATTCAAACAAGTTATTATACCACCTCCAATGTTTGATGTGATGTTAATCCTTGACTCTCCTGTTGATAGTGTTTTATATTTACCTTATGATTCAAGGTAAGATTAATATTTTATAACTTTATATTTCATTTGTGGTTGTAAAAGTACTTGTATCTATACATAATCTATATCTTGGTTATTTAAACTTAATTTGTGTTTTTTAATGTTATACACATGTGGAGCTAGTAAATGTTCCACTATTTTGGCTAAGCTATTTAATAACTAATTAAAACATCTAAGTTTCAATTTAAAATTAATTTTCACATTAAGTATCATATTCTAAGAATATAGCTATATAAAAAAAAACACTAAAATATAAATATTTTCAGAGCCATTGTAATTAATTTTAAAAAAGCTAAAATATACAAAAAATTAATTTAAATATTAATATAAATTATCTTATATGGTATATATATACCATGGTATATATATATATATTTGTGATAAAATAATAAGTATCTCATTAGTCAATAGGTATAATTTTATAAACTTATAATTACAATTTTATAAACCTTCAATATTCAAAAGTTTTTAACAATCATATGATTTTGTTAAATAGAATAAATTACTATAGCAAAATAATTTGTTAATATTTAGATATTTAGACTTACATATTTTATGGTTAAGTTGTGGCTTCAAGCTTTAGAAAATTAATTTGTTAGATTTTTAGCAAGCTTTACCATAGACGGACATTTGGTTGAATTTTTAGGGAGGCTTTAATAATTCAATGTTAAATAACCTGCTGGGACTTTGCCCCCACACCCTCTTCCTATGCACAAGTAAAATGTATTACTATTAAAAATATAGATATATTTAAATAGTTTAAAAAAAAAACACTAAATTATGTATATTTAAAAATAATAAATAATTTATTTTAATGACAAATATCTATTTGTATCAGAAAAGATATTCAAAATATCATCGCTTTTTATATTTTTCAATAAATAGTAATGAAAGATCGCTGAACCTATCTTCAACAAATGATGTCCTTAGCCAAGTTTTTATTTTTTTCATTGCACTGAAACTTCTTTCGCAAGTAGCCAAACTAATTGGTATTGTTAATGCTATTGTAAATAGTTTTTTATTATTTCTTATTTTATGATTTTCAAAAAAACGAACAGATAATTATAAAAATAATGAATCACATTTCTAACAAAGTTTTGATTTTGGAGGGGTTTTATGAGGTGTCTTGAGTATAAGGCACATTTGGTGGATTCTGACGGTTTCTTAAAAGTACTTTTAATTGTAATATTTAAATTACTTTATGATTAAAAAAAAATTTTAAAATAAAAACCTTTAAAAAGAGTTCAGTTCTTTATAATTATTTTTGTTGTTGTTGTGATAACTTTTATAAATTAAAAAAAATATTGAAACCAAAAGGATAAAATAATGTTAAAAAAAAAAAAAAACTTAAGTATAAAATAAATATTTTATATACATACATAATTATCTTATAAGTTGTTATTTAAGTAAATAATTAATTTTCTACCAAAGTTTTTTTTTGTCAAAGTTATAAACTTCACCATTTACTTATCAGTTTTATTCCATACATAATTGTATACATTTAAAACACACATAACTTATAAGTAATATCATTAATAAACTCTTATAGTTATAATTTGGCCTAAATATTAAATTTGTTTTTAACGATATCAAAATAAACTTAGACTATAAAGTATACATATTTATTAGTATTTAATTGTGTGTTTCATATAGTTAAATTTTATTATTAAAATAATTAATTGTATTTTTAAAATAAAACCGCGTTTATTTGTTGCTGTTGATCAACAATATAACCTATAAAAGTATATATACTCCTTGGAATCGTTTACACATAATATTATGATAATATAAAGATTATATAAAATTTAATATTGTGTTTAGTGTTATATTTTTCTAACGGTGAACTTGTGCATAAATTATTTGTTTCGTTTGAAGAAGTTAAGAAATTAATTTAACAATATGTATGACATGGGAGATGATGAATATGAAGAAGAAGAGGAGACCGAAGAAATTTCTAGCGAACTTTGGCAAGAAGCTTGCTGGATTGTGATTAATTCTTATTTCGATGAAAAAGGTTTGGTTAGGCAACAATTGGACTCTTTTGATGAATTCATTCAAATGTCTGTGCAACGTATAGTTGAAGATTCGCCCCAAATTGAATTACATGCAGAATCACAACATACGCATGGAGAAATTGATACTCCTACACAATATCACATTAAGTTTGAACAGATTTATTTATCGAAACCTACTCATTGGGAAAAAGATGGTTCACCATCTCCTATGATGCCTAATGAAGCTAGGTTGCGTAATTTAACATATTCTGCCCCTTTATATGTAGATATTACAAAAACTGTAATCAAAGATGGCGAAGAGCCAGTTGTTACTCAACATTCTAAATCTTTTATTGGTAAAATACCTATAATGTTAAGATCAACGTATTGTCTTTTGTTTGGTCTGAATGATCGTGATTTGACTGAGTTAAATGAATGTCCACTAGATCCTGGTGGTTATTTCATTATAAATGGTTCTGAAAAAGTCCTGATAGCTCAAGAAAAAATGGCTACAAATACTGTATATGTATTTAGTATGAAAGATGGAAAGTATGCATTCAAGGCTGAAATAAGATCTTGTTTAGAACATTCTTCTCGTCCGACTTCTACTCTTTGGGTTAATATGATGGCACGTGGTGGTCAAAGCATAAAAAAATCTGCCATCGGTCAAAGGATAATAGCTATCTTACCATACATTAAACAAGAAATACCTATTATGATAGTATTTAGAGCTTTAGGATTTGTGGCAGATCGTGATATTTTGGAACATATTATTTATGACTTTGATGATCCAGAAATGATGGAAATGGTAAAACCTTCTTTAGATGAAGCTTTTGTAATACAAGAACAAAATGTTGCATTAAATTTTATTGGTTCTCGTGGAGCAAGACCTGGAGTAACTAAAGAAAAACGTATTAAATACGCTAGAGAAATTCTACAGAAAGAAATGTTGCCTCATGTTGGTGTTTCTGATTTTTGTGAAACTAAAAAGGCATATTTTTTGGGTTATATGGTTCATCGTCTCCTTTTGGCTTCACTTGGTAGACGTGAATTAGATGACAGAGATCATTACGGTAACAAACGTTTAGATTTGGCTGGGCCATTGTTGGCATTTTTATTTAGAGGATTATTCAAAAACTTAATGAAAGAAGTGCGTATGTATGCTCAAAAGTTCATTGATCGTGGAAAAGATTTTAATCTAGACTTAGCTATTAAAACAAAACTAATAACAGATGGTTTAAGATATTCATTAGCTACAGGAAACTGGGGTGATCAGAAAAAGGCTCATCAAGCAAGGGCTGGTGTATCTCAGGTATTAAACAGACTGACATTTGCTTCAACGTTATCACATTTAAGACGTGTTAATTCTCCTATTGGTCGTGATGGTAAATTAGCAAAACCTCGTCAATTGCATAATACTCTGTGGGGCATGTTATGTCCAGCTGAAACTCCTGAAGGTGCTGCAGTTGGCTTGGTAAAAAATCTTGCTTTGATGGCATACATATCGGTTGGTTCCCAGCCTTCACCAATTTTGGAATTTTTAGAAGAATGGAGCATGGAAAATTTAGAAGAAATTGCTCCTTCAGCTATTGTAGATGCAACTAAAATATTTGTAAATGGATGTTGGGTTGGTATTCATCGTGATCCCGAACAATTAATGGGTACTTTAAGAAAACTGCGACGTCAAATGGATATTATTGTAAGTGAAGTTAGTATTATTCGTGATATACGAGATCGTGAAATTCGAATTTACACAGATGCGGGCCGTATTTGCCGACCATTACTAATTGTTGAAAATGGTAAATTATTATTAAAGAAACGCCATATTGATAGCTTAAAAGAACGTGATTATAACAACTATGGATGGCAAGTACTTGTTTCAAATGGTGTTGTTGAATATATTGATACTTTAGAAGAAGAAACCACTATGATTGCTATGTCACCTGATGATTTAAGACAAGAAAAAGAATATGCTTACTGTACAACTTATACACATTGTGAAATTCATCCTGCTATGATATTGGGAGTATGTGCATCTATTATTCCATTTCCTGATCATAATCAAAGTCCTAGGAATACGTATCAAAGTGCTATGGGTAAACAAGCAATGGGTGTTTACATTACCAACTACCATGTTCGGATGGATACATTAGCTCATGTTTTATATTATCCACATAAACCGCTTGTTACAACAAGATCTATGGAATATTTACGATTTAGAGAACTTCCTGCCGGTATAAATTCTATTGTAGCTATTTTATGTTACACTGGATATAATCAAGAAGATAGTGTTATATTAAATGCTTCTGCAGTTGAAAGAGGATTCTTTAGATCTGTGTTTTTCCGTTCATATAAAGATTCTGAATCAAAACGAATTGGAGATCAAGAAGAAGTATTTGAAAAACCTAATCGCCAGTCATGTCAAGGAATGAGAAATGCTATTTATGATAAGTTGGATGATGATGGTATAATCTCTCCTGGTCTCAGGGTGTCTGGTGATGATGTTATTATAGGTAAGACAATGACACTTCCTGACAATGAAGATGAGCTTGAAGGAACTACCAAAAAATTTTCAAAACGAGATTGCAGTACATTTTTAAGAAACAGTGAAACTGGTCTCATCGACCAAGTTTTGTTAACATTAAATTCAGAAGGTTATAAATTTTGTAAAATTCGTGTTCGTTCTGAAAGAATACCTCAAATAGGTGATAAATTTGCTTCAAGACATGGTCAAAAAGGAACATGTGGAATACAGTACAGACAAGAAGATATGCCTTTTACTTGTGAAGGTATAACACCTGATATTATTATAAATCCACATGCTATCCCTTCTCGTATGACAATTGGACATTTAATCGAGTGCTTACAAGGGAAAGTATCTTCAAATAAAGGAGAAATTGGTGATGCTACACCATTTAATGATGCTGTTAATGTACAAAAAATTTCAACTTTGTTACAAGAATATGGTTATCATTTACGAGGAAATGAAGTTATGTACAATGGTTTTTCTGGAAGAAAAATCAATGCCCAAATATTCTTGGGACCTACTTATTATCAACGTCTTAAGCACATGGTAGATGATAAGATACATTCGAGGGCAAGAGGACCTGTTCAAATATTAGTTCGACAACCTATGGAAGGAAGAGCAAGGTAATATTACATTTTAAAGTGGATTTTATATTATTGTTTTATTTATTAATAATTTGTTGATTTTAGGGATGGTGGTTTACGTTTTGGAGAAATGGAACGTGATTGTCAAATAGCCCATGGAGCTGCTCAATTTTTACGTGAACGTTTGTTTGAAGTGTCTGACCCTTACCGTATACATATATGTAATTTCTGTGGATTGATTGCCATTGCAAATTTAAGAAATAACACTTTTGAATGTAAAGGCTGTAAAAATAAAACACAAATTTCTCAAGTTAAATTACCATATGCAGCAAAGTTATTATTCCAAGAACTTATGTCTATGAATATTGCTCCTAGACTTATGGTTACTAATTAAATTATATTTCATATAGTTCTGAAAATACCAACTTTTTCATATGTATTTTACTTTATTTATAAATTTAAGATAATGTATTTTAATATAATACTATTGTACTAAATAAATGTCAATATTAAAAATGTTGCAATTATTATAATATGACTTTTGTATGGAAATTAGATTTAATTATTAATAAAGTATATTTCAATTTTTATATTTACCAAATACTTTAATTGTTAATTTGATATCCCTATTGACAGAGAAAAAATAGTTTTTAAATTATTAAATCTTTGCATGTTTTTAGTAAAAATGGAAATGATATTTGTGTCATCACTAATGATAGGAGTGTTCATTTTTATCAGTATAGAGAAGGATCGTACATCAAAAATAGTAAGTCATTTATATAATTGTTTTTATCTTAAGTTATGTTTAAAATATTGTATTACTTTTTAAATGATAGTTGAGAATATTAAATTAATATCAAATAAACAAATTCTGTTGATTTTTTATATATTTTTTTTTTTTATGTAATGAATATGAAAAAAAAAAATTATAAACTAAATAAAAATAGTAATTGTTCTTTAAACTTGATAAAATATGTGAAGTTAAACTACGAGTATTCAAATAATAAATATTTACATATTTTCATTATTTTTAAGGCAGTAATTGTGTTAGTAAGTTAATAGTATTATTTCATAATTTGTATACTAATGATGTATAAAAATGTTATCTAATATTAAATCAAAAACTAATAACAAAAGCTATTAGTTTTTTAGATTGATTATTAAATAATTTTATTTGGTATGCAAATCTTTCAATATTTTACTTAAATTTGTTATGTGTATATATTATATTTTAATTTTATTTTTTTCATAGAAACTATTAACAGTTTGCCAAACATGACTGGATTAGTAAACCATTGGTTTTGGTTAAATGAAAATACCCTCGCATTTAGTTTATCAGAAATTGGGGATATTCATCACCTGTGTGTTGCTAAAATTGATAATGATTTCAAAGACATGTAACTTCTAAATAATTTTATTTCACTAAAATATGTTCTTAGATTTATTAATTGATTTTAGAACTAAGTACATTGTGGAAAAATCTGTTGTTGGTATTTTGAACCATAAAAATGGAGCTCTAATTCAATTATCAAATGGACATGTATTATTGTGGAATGAAGAGATGGATCAAATTGATTCTTATCTTTATTTGCCCGAAGAGTGTACATATACAAGTATAATGAACAATAAAATATATGCTCTTGGTGTATCAAAAAGACTTTTTGAAAATGATAAAGTGATTCTACACAATGTAGGATCATTTTGTATTCGTTATCCATTTGTGTTAGCTGCCACATTGAATGAAAGGCTTATAGCGCATAATGTACAACCTACCAAAGTAATATTAAATAATAATAATTTTTTTGAAAAAAAAAAGAATAAATTACGCTTATTTCAGGATATTGGTGATCAATATCAACGGCGAGTTGAATCTGGGTCAAGAATTTTAACAGTAACTGGTAATTCAGTTATACTACAATTACCAAGAGGTAACTTAGAAACAATTAGACCAAGACCTCTAACAATTTTGTCAGCTGTTGAACTTCTTCGAGAAAGAAAATATTTTGTAGCATTTGATCTTCTACGTAAGGAACGTATAAACCTTAATGTAATATGTGATTTAGATCCTTTAAAGTTTATTGAGGATTTGAATGAATTTGTCGTCCAAATAAAAGATTCATCTTGGATAAGTTTATTTATTACTGAATTAGAAGACAAAAATTATTTGAACACTGTTTATGCTTCTCAGTTCCAACAAAATAAAGTAAAAGAATTAAATAATAAAGTATTCACTGTGTGTTCACATTTAATGAATATGTTAAACAAACTTGATACAAACAAATATGCTTTTCCATTACTTGGATGTTTTGTTAAATTAAAACGTTTTGATTTAGCTTTAAATCTTGCATCTCTAAATAATGACTATTTAAAGCATTTACTATTTTTAGTGGATGTAGACAAATTATACAAAGCCTCACTTGCTGAGTATAATTTAGAAATGGCTATGAAAATTATAAGTAAGGGTCTATTATTTTATCCTTCATAATAATTTATACATTTTATTTGATTTATATTTATATTGTACCGTTAGATAATTCACAGCTTGATCCAAAAGAATATGTACCATTTTTAAGAGAATTAGAAAAAATGGAATATCATTACATGCGTTTTACAATTGATGATAAATTAAAAAATAAAGAATCAGCCATAAAAAATTTAATTCTTTGTGGAGGACAATTTGACGATTGTTTAAAATATATTATTGATAACAACCTTTATTCTTATGCATTAACTTTATTCAATAAAAATCAAAATGAGTAAGTAACATGAAAAAATATTATACTTTATTTTAAATAGAAAATATGTTTTTGTTAGTATACAATGGTATAATAATATAAAAATTAATATAAAATTAAAAAAAGTAAAATGATAAGTATAATATATGAAATAAGTAAAATGATATATAATAAACATTAGGTAAGCCTACTCTGAAAATATATTAAATTCCCAGTCTCCAATTGTATTTTAAATATTAAACCTTAATACTGCTGTATAAAGAAATTTAGTTACTTTTAAATGCATTTTTGTAAAAATCTAAATAAATTTAACATTCTTAATTAAAAATAAATTATTCGTATTTTGGTACCAATATTTTAATATTGGTTAGTATGAATTTATTTATAATATCATTGTTATAAAATTATTTATTTATTCAATAATTGACAGACATACATAACAGGGATATAGGTATTAAAAACATTTGTTTAGAAATCAAAAACTATATATCTTTATTACCCTATTCTCTTTGTATGTTGTATTCATTAATGAACATTGGCAATCATGTTAGTTATTTGATTTTTATTAATGACTGTTCTGAATAATGATATTGTAATTGTACGAACCACCTACTGAGGTTGTCCATCCTAGAAAAGCGGTCTTCCTCGGTTTCTTCTTCCAAATATTTTACCCGGAATCATTAATTGTAGTATACTATATTTTTCTGTATGTCGCAATAACATGGTCCAGTTATTGAAGTTTTTCGTATTTTTATTGTTTTAACTACTGTTTTATTTCCTATTTAAAATTTTAATTTTAATTACTTTCTTTAAAAAATAATTTTTATCGTTAATAAAATTCTAGCTTATATAAAAATTTAAATATGATATTGAATAAACAATTAATTGAAATTATATTTATTTAAAATACTCTACTATAAAAAGTTCTTTTAATTATATTGAAAGTAAAATATATTGTTTTATTATAGGTATAAAGTAATCGCAAAATATTTTGGCGATTTTTTATATTCTAAAATTGATTACAAACAGGCCGCATTAATGTATAATCGAAGTACTGAACGTAATAAAGCTGTTGATTCTTATTTAAAAGCGGGATTTTGGAAAGAATCTATAGAGCTGTCTTATGAACTAAATTTTGAGTAACTATAATTTTTCTATTATGATAGTAAAATTATGTATGTTTATTATTTTATATTGTTGTTTAGTGATGCTGAAATGAATCTAATTAGAAAAAACATTTTATCCATGTTATCATCAACACAAAAATTTAAAGAAGCTGCAGATTTTGCTGAATTTGAGTTGAAAGATACTAAATTAGCTGTAGAATATTGTATAAAAGCTCAAGATTATATTCATGCACTGTATTTAGCTCGATCCAGATCAATACTTGATATAAAGTTAGGTATATATTTCATAATTTTTTATAAAACTGCTTAACTTACCTATGTAATTATTTTTATGCTCTTATAATTTTTTCATGTTTTATATTTGTATACATAATATATTTTTTTAATAATATATATATATACATATATATATATATTTGTTTTTTAGAAAATCTTATAAAGTCAACTTGTTTAAGCACTGCTCAAAATCTTATTTCTGAGATTAATTCACAAAATGATACTTTTGTTACATTAGTGAAACGTTTAATTGAAGTTAGAAATGAAAGTTCTAGTGTATCAATCACCTATGGTATTATTCAGTATAACTTTTAGTATTTATATTTTTAATTAATAAATTTAATATATATTTTTTTAGATAACTTAAATGATACAAGTTCTGAAATTAGTAGTGTTTCATCTTATCGTTCTTCAAGGTATAATATTTTCCTAATATAATTTATTTATAAAGCAAATCAATAAATCATTAGTAATATAATTTTAATTACAGTACTCGCACTAGCTGCAGAAGTGCTCGAAAACAACAACGTAAAATGTGGAATTTGAAAAAAGGCAATTTTCGAGAAGAACCTACTATTGTTTTGACTTTGAAACAAATAATGGAAAAAATTGAAAAATTGATAGGTAATTAGTTTGAATTAAAATATTTGCATAAATCAAAGAATTACTGAATTATATATATATATATGTTTTAACAGATGATGTAAAAAATATCTGTGTCTTACTTGTTAAATTAGAAGAATTAAATATTTGTTGTGATCTGCAAACGGCAATGGAATCTTTTCAAACTACCATACTTAATCATAAGTCTATTGTTTGGCCTATTTTTGTAAGTTATTTATTAATAATATATTTTAAACTAAAATATTGTTCATAGATGTATAGAACTAATTAAAAAAATAGTATTTAATTAATAAAGAAAAAAAATAAAATAAAAAAATAAAAAATAATAAAGAAATTTGTTAATTTCTATTTTTATTTTATTTTTAGAATGAAATTGAACAAATTATTGAAGGTAAATAATAATATTAATATTGTTTTGTTAAAAATTAAAAACCAATGTATAATTAAATAAATGAGTTATTGTGTGCTTATTTTTCAGATGCTATTCTTTTGAGTCCTTTGAAAATTGTACCAGATAAAAGTTGGAAACTATCCATATTGGAATAATATTTTCATCATAATGTCTTATAAATATATACTTTTCGTTAATATTTATATGGATGCTTTATTTTTAATATGAAATATTTAAATCAGTTTTTTCTGTATACTTATGTATATTATGAATTTAATTGTGTATTAATATAATAATGGTGAATTTAAGTGAAGCAAGTATATGACTTTTTATTTCAATTTGTCTTTTCTCTTATATGTATATTTATATACATACAGTGTGATCACGATAAGTGGAAACACTCAATAACTTTGTGCAGGCTTTATATTTCAATTCTGCTTTTTTGGGTTACTAATAATCGAGTGTTGGCTCAACCCACTTAAAGCCACTGAGCGGCATAAATTGGGACATAGCCCACCAATATAAGTTATTACCTATTAACATATCCATATTACAATTATTCACGATAGGCATAACTTATAGTATTTATATTATTAACGCAAAGTCTTGATATATAATCCACGAGTCATGCTCCTCAGGATTGTAATCCGATATCTTTAGATTATTAGCCTTAGCGTACCGCATGCTCGCCTGTACCAGTAAATTTCATATTTTCTTAACAATAAATAAGTGGTTATAAGTTAATCACATTAAAACCAGATGTTATGTTTTCGAAAATCACACAATAATGATAAAATGAACGAGACAAATAATAGGTATATCATATGTGTGAAATGATTTAGACCTGTGCATAAAAGTATATTATCTATGCAAGCATGGGAGGTGTAGGGTAAAACGATTGTAATTATCTCGTCGGAAAATAATATTATTATTATTGTTATTACACTATCTGGAATCATACGCGTATGTTACGTAACAGCTACCATGATAAATAATTAAAACTAAATGTGGAAAAATAAAGTGCAATGTTTTGGTGTAATATATCCTATTAGTAAATATATATATATATATATATATATATCGGTGGGGTCACAGGAGGGGTGGAGGGATGGTATGATTAAGTCTGATAAGAGACGGATGTACAGATAAGGATAGATCGCGATAGGTTAACACGGCGGCGGCTCGCGTTAGCTCAGTTCAGCCGCACATGGGACGGAGGAGTCTTATATCAGGAGAGGGCAGGGAAAATTAGGTTAGCTAACGATAGGTTAACTCAGCGACTATTATATTAGAGGGAGAGGTCTTATATTAGGGGAAGGTAGATTAGTTTAAGAAAGGTTAACACGGTGGCAGCTTGTGCGAGGTTAAGGCGGCGGTGGCGGCTTGCGTTAGGTTAACACGGCGGCGGTTTAGCACGGAGTGGATGTTAGCGGGCAGACGATTGTGCGGGGTGGGGCTCGCGGGGGTCTAGAACTGTTTATTTAATACTACTCACTAGAGTAGACATATCTCAGGTTCATTTTTTCAGGAGTTACTCCATATTAATGTTTTTTTTTTCTTATATAATATCTGAGAATTCCCAGCATGCAGTCGTCAGATTTGCTACCGATTGTAAAATCACATTAATAAGTGTCTCTTTTTCTCTTTTACAGGCGTACATGCTTTGATATTAGCGCTCGGTAAATTTTGGAAAAACGAGGGTTATAGAAACGTTAACGTGCATATTTTTTATCATACGCATGCTTCGTTAGACCAAACAAATATTTAGACGTAAATCGGTAACGGCCGGGGTCGTTAGAGAAGAGAACAAGCCTCTTATTCGTGTGCGCAGATTGATTCAAAGAAGTTTGAACGGCGCCGAAACTCATTTTATGTGTATCTAGTAAATATCCGAGGGGTTTCCTCGTCCTTTGATCAAATACATGTTTTATAACAACATAATTTAAAAATGAATTTATGATTTTTCCGACGACTGACATAAATACATATTTCTCTTCATATTATAACTTATTTAATCTATTATATGACAAGGGGAAATTAGATATAGATATTTACCTGTAGGCATAGTCGGTTGGTATCTAAATGTTTTTTTTTGTTGTTTTACGGTCGATCTTGATTCAATGGTATAAATTTACATCTGTATAAAGCTCACCTATTGCATTCCATTTATAATTATTGCAAATAACGATTTTACCAAAAGAAACATAATTAAAATCTAATTAGAAAATCGGTTGTCTGTATATCTTCATTAATTTTACACTCATATTCAAATTAAAGTGTGAGATACAAACAGTATTTTAGACGGTAACTGTACGTTAGGAGGTTTCGTGAACTTTGCTCTGTTTCTCATAACGATCGACATTGGTTTTATTAATTTTGTGAAAACTTTGAAATTGGACTTACAAATTCTTGCCAACTAGGTGCCTACTTATTTAACTATATTGGCATTGTTTTGGAATTTCAATTTAATTCGACAACGGATAACGTGGTCGTGGACTGACTCCGTGAACTTACACGTTCACAAAATCGATTGGAAAACCGTTTTGCGTGGAGTATATCTAATATGATTGTAAAATGTACATCTGTCAAATTATGATTTTTATATCCGGGGAAATATTTATTTTATTAACTTGTAGAATATTATTGTTTATGACATAGTCTGTGTTTTCGTATTGGTGGAGAGGTTGCATAAAATATCTTTGCCGTTACCCGCATTATATTATGCCTTCAACAGACGTAAGTACTTGTAAATGTAAAAAACTCACAATTATTTTAATTATTATACTCGCAGTTTCTATGGAATTTGAAATATTATACGCCTATATTTTGTTTATTTCTCTGCCGAGTATACCATACTTTTAATCCGAACATTTTTTAATCAACTCTGTTATCTAATTTGAGTGTTTTACACTAACTTCAATGATATATATATATATATATATATATATAAAACCTGTAAATAACTCGATATGGTTGTGCTCAAACATAATTTGCTATCTCCCTCCCCCGCATTTTAGACATTTAGTGCGAATTTATATGGCCAATGTTGGTGTGCAAATTACTAATAAATTACTATGTTCCCTTAGAAAACACGAATATTGTTCACATTATGCATAATTAAATTGCCGAATGTTTCGCACGGAAACCGCGGGAAACGAGGCAAGACCTGACATTAGAGTCATTACCGACAGACTGTACGTACATAATATAATAACGAATGTCTTGTTGGTATTGCTATCTGTACGTCTATGCGACGTAGGCAAGCAAAACTATTTGTTAGTAGGTATCCAAAAACTTACAAATTAACCATCTAGCCTTTGTTGCGTAAGCCTGTGTCTGCCTCGTGGCACTTTGAGATTTTGTTGTACGCTATCAGTCATGTACGTTCCCGACTGCTACAACATACGTTTTTACGTAACATGTTTTCTTTAAGAGCTTGTGTGCTCTGCACGACGCGTATATAATATATTTAATGTACGCATGCGCCCCATTATTCATTTCTATAGTTGATAATCGTTTAGTTTGGATTTGGAATGAGCTCTCCAAGATGTGGGAGAGAGATTTTAAAATGTTAATCCTAAGCATGGTGGTCTGTCCAAGTGTTTTTGATATCAAAAGTAACTCCCAATATTTTTAAGGAAATTTTGTTTTGGATTGCAGTATTTCCGATTTATAAATTAATATCGATAAGGGGGTTTTTTTCTTGTGATAGATTTATTCTGAGATTTTTCGGCTGAGAGGGTGAATCCTGTTTTATGAGTCGAGTTTAGTAGAGTATTTATTGTTTCTTGTAATGATTTTTGCGTGCCGAGTAGGTTTCCCCACCGGTAAAATATATTTAAGTCATCTGCAAAGAGAGAGCTCTTAACTAGGAATTTAGTGGCCTCGGTTATCCTATTAATTGCTATAAAAATAAGTTTAATTGACAAGGTTGATTTCTGAGGAACACTATTTTTTTGCAAATATATTTGAGACAAACGTCCATTTACTTGATTGTAAAGGTTCTATCGGTTAAGAAACAATGAAGTTAAATATTTTTCTGTTGATCAATATGTTTTGCAGTTCATGTATTATGTGAAAATGCCATATAGTGTTACATATTCTTTAGAGATATCTAATGATACCAAACCCAATACTTGTCTTCTTTTAAAAGATTCGTTTATTTCAGCTTATAAGTAACGAAAACAGTTGAAAGGGCTTATATATTGAAGAAAATAGTATTGTGGGGAGGGGGGAAAGGTAGTTAGATATTTTTTAAAACTAAGACAATCGTATGTCTATAATTTTTTTTCAAAAATGCTACACAATGTGTTGAGCACTGAAATGGTATTGTACCCATTTGTTTTAAAATTGATTTTCCAAGGCTTGGGAATCGGGATAGTCATCGCGTATTTCAAATGGTTGGCATGTACCCAGAATGCTAAATATTTGATTAAAAATGTCAAGTAGTGTTTGATATGCAGATGGAGGGGACGTTTTGTAGAAATATTTATGGAATATCGTCAAGGGTATGATAATGCTACAGAATTTGGAAAGGGCTGCCTTCAAACCACTACTCCAAGTATACAAAGGTCTAATCCTCTCCAAACAAGAATCTTGTATGGATGGTTTTTTTTCATTCTACAAAACAAAAACCAATACTCACCAAATGTAAGACACTATTCAAAATATAGGTTTAAAAATGTCTATGAGTGTATTGAAATCAAGTTTATGTAGTAGCATTTATATTATTGTCGGAATACCATTGTTTTATACCCGAAGACTAAAAAATTTTATTTTAAAAGCTTCCTAAAAAGTATTTAATAAACTAAAATCATGGAAAGCATGAAAGATATCTAAAAAAAAAAATAATTTCTTCCACAACAGATTTGTTACCAGAGAAAAAGCTATAATCCTACCTTAGATAGTTGAAGTAAACATCAGCACAGAGATTAATATACTTGCGAAAATCTCTACAGCATCCAGTATATTGACACGGGCATGTCGCACGAATATCGCGATCTCACCCGTTACACCCCTTTGTCTTGGTATCACCATTTGTTCGATTATCAATCGGATGCCTGATAGAATTATCGGCATTAATCGATAGATTAATCGAACCAGTTTTCGGAGTCGGCGATGAGCGACGGCAGCGCTTGTTTGCTTTTAGCCGTCTTCGTGACCTTTCTACTTTTCTATATTTTTGCTACCGTCATTTGATATTAGT